ATGGACTCAAGTAGCCGCTGAGCCGAAAACCAAAAAAAATACCAAAAAAAAAACAAAAAAAAATACCCAAAAAGAACCCCCACCCTATCTGTATATATATATATATACACATACTGATGCATACACCTACCTGCCTACCTACCTACCTACCTGCCTACCTACCTACCTACCTACCTACCTACCTACCTACCTACCTCCCTGCCTACCTTACCTACCTACCTACAAACATACTTGCCCACCAAACTATCTACCTGCATGTACCGACCGACCGACCTATCTAACTATACCCACCACCTCCCTCTCCTAACCTACCTACCTGACTTATGAGCTACCCACCTACCGACACGTGGGTACATACACACGTACGTACGCTCGACGGACAGACACGCAAACAGACAAACAGACAGCCATGCGCACATACAAACATATGTTTTTACACACATGCGTGCGTGCATGCATACATAAACACATGCACACATACATACATACATACATACATACATACATACATACATACATACATACATACATACATACACATACACATATAGATACATAGATAGATAGATAGATAGATAGATAGATAGATAGATACATACATACATACATACATACATACATACATACATATATACATCCGTCCATGTGTACATCCATACATACAGACGCACTTACATAATCACGTACATACAATCTATGCATGTTATGTATGTACGTATGTCTGTATGTATGTCATACATACATACAGACATACATGCACAAACAAACATTGTACATGTCCAGCAACGAAAACTCGTTGAGCGAGCTGGTTGCATCTGGGGCATGGTGGCTTCTCCGAGGTCGGCGGAAGGGAGCATTAGCCCTTTGATGGCTCTCAGATGCAAGTGCCGCGTGCAGCTCGGGTAGCCACTGGACGATGCGGCATGCCCCAGGCTGCAGAATGAGCGGGCAGTATGAGCACCAGTCCACCGCGAGCCAAGTGCTCTTGGATTGGCGACAGGATCAAAGTGCAGTCTCTCGAGATGCTCTACATTGTAGCTTGGAACCCTGACAGAGACCAATGCTTGATCACAACAAGGCAAAGGTCCAGCATGACGCTTTTTGTGTCCGGAGGCTGAATGGCAGGCTCAATCCCCTGGACAGGGATGAGCCCAACATTCGCAGAACGCTGGCACCTTCAGAGCGGTCTTTGGCGCGGAGCGCTCAGATAACGAGGTGACACAAACCTAGTTGCTCTGACGCCCGCTTGGCTTTGTGTGCTCTTGTGCTTTAGACTGGCTTCAGGAGATGATGCTGGACAAGTTGAGCAGACGCTAAGATGCTGTCATGCTTCACTATCCCTCTCCACTTCTTCTCACTGCGTGGCAGTGCACTGTGCAAGATCAGCTCTCGGCTCTCGATGAGCCAAGGCTCAAGGGCTCTCAGACCGTCGCGCTAGTCGCCTGCGTCGGGGAATCGGGAAGGCCTAAGTGCGAGCAGGGTAGAAGTCAGCCACGACTTCATTGTTTGATGGACAAGTTAATCGGGCCGAAGCCCGAGAGCTTGCCTGCTATCCTACCTCTTACCGCCCAGAACCGTCGAACAGCTGGCCGAACCTCTTTCATGCTCCGAGCCTCTATTCACACTTCACGTGCCCTTTGAGATTGCAGGAGCAAGACTTTAAGGCGGAGATTCGATGCGATTGTGCGGCCGAGCAAAGAGGGTACAGTGTCATCCGGCAACACGGGACAAGCAGAAACACCGCGAACACCTGTGGCAAGATGTTTGTCCTGGCTGGCATCCGTCGGATCTTTCGTGCCCCGACAGGAGTTTCTTTCATGTGCCTTCGACTGCAATCACAGTTTGAACCATCGTGATATTCCCGCATTGTTCTGCATGAATGCGTGCTGTACGAGTACTCGAATGTGTGAATGTGGTTGCGTGTGTGCGTTGTGATGATCAGCTGTTGCGATTCGTGTGGACATTTTTGGGTGCGACACTCCGTAAGTACAAGTTGTTCCGGCAGAAAAAGTTATCTAAGGTGTTTACTGGCGGCACTTCCAGGAGCCCTCCGGAGAATTCTACTCGGCATCACACACAGCAGACATGTGACGGAAGGCACTCAGTGCGAAATCTTTCCGAATGCGTGCCACAAATGTGACAAATCAGATCGCGCCCAAGACACACACACACACACCTTGTTCAATTCGAGAGGAACACAATAAAAAACACGTTGCTATTCTTGCGTCGAGTGATCTCCAGGCCCTCATCAGACCATCTCAGACCCAATCTCAGAGTCAAAGACTGCAAGAGTTGAGAAAGACTTGAGGAGAGGAGGTCGGAGCATGGAGAAGACTTGGCCATGCTGTGCTATGCTCCGGGTTGATGTGGCCAGGCGCTTCCCTCCGGAGCCGAGGTTCACGTCTCAGCTCGCGGCTCAGGAGAAGATGCTCGCGATTTGGTCCTGGAATTCGGGCGCCACTCTCTTGCGCTGGCCTTGCGGTCTTGCGCTGGCAGGAGGCTGCAGACGTCAGATCCTGCTGACTTCCGCTGAGCGCGCGGGGGAAAGTGACCTCAACTGCACGAGCGGATAAGGACATCTTATCCGCACGGTAGGTTAGGAAGCGCAGGGCCTAGCAAGCTTCGTTAAGCTCTAATTATTCTCCACTTCCACATTCCAACTGTCAGCCCTTCAGCTCTTTTTCGCATCCCGCTTAGCCAGCGTCTCTCCGTAGTTGCTGTGTAGTGCCCGAAACAGTATCATCCCTGGCAGTCAGGACTCAGAAGCCTGCTTCGACCTTGACGTACAGGTCACCGAAACTTGCAGGGTCCTGTGGATGGGACATAGCATCAAGTGAAGCCAGTCGCGACTCGAAGGCTCGCTTCTGGCTGAGAGGGCTGACGTCTCTCAGCGGCATACCCTCACCTCGCACCTGGCGCCGCGCGAGACTCGATGTTTCCAGGGATGACAGCTCTTGCCAAACACCACAACACCGTGCCTTAATGACTTGAAAGGGCTTGGTTACGCTGTCCGTTCCTGGAAGGCACGTCAAAACAGTAAAACCAAAGAGCGCTTTCTCGGAAGCTGCTATATGCTGCCGATGCTGCTGATGAAAGCAGAAACGAGAAGCGGCAAGGAACGGGGCTGAGGAATAAGCCAATCTCCACTGTGTGGCCGTCCATATGCCTCATGACAGATTCAACATATACCGCTCGAAGTGGTCTCCACTGTGTACCCTGGTATACCAGATGGTTTTGAGCATGCTTTCGTCGCATGTGGGTGCAGTTCAACTTCGGACCTTACACTCCCGGATTTGAAGTTAGAACATGGAGAAATAATCTCCCGTTCATATCCCCGACACCCCCCGAAGGCACACGGTCCTGACGGTTTTCGTCCACCCAAGCAGAGCTTCTCGAAGCGGCACCTTGCATGGCAAAACCGATCACCAAGACGGCGTCCTCTCAGAACGGCACCTTCATGTTCATGTGCAGGTCGTCCCCACGTCTCTCGAACTCCGGATGCTTCGCAACCTCGCAGAAAGAGCTCTTTTCCGGGCTCGATCGAGCACCCCCCAGCCATGCGCCGAGCCTTGAGGGTCAAGATCATGCTGCCGGGGATCATGCCTGGCCTGGCGCCAGCTGCGACATGCGTGATGCGATCATGCGATGCGACCATGCGATGGTTCGGCACCTCTGGTCAGTCATGCGAGGGAAGGTGAGGCTTTCGCCATCCCGCATTCCCTGGCAGCAGTCTAGTCAGGACTTTTGGGGGAGAGGATAGATGCAGGCCTTCTCTATGTGGGCATCTATCTCGGCGAGCTCCTGCTTGCACTTCTCCTGGCCTTAGTCTCCGGGGCAATAGTTCGAGGGTCTGTACGCTGTAGAGCGCTGTGAGTAGGTGGAGGACTCTGGACTTCTTCTTGCTGCTGCATGAACATGCCAGGGCCAACCTACCACACGCAACTGGCCCAACATCGTTACACTGTCGTCAGCCCCTCCGAGCCTGCCGGTTTACTAACCTGCAGACGAACGAACATGCAGGGACAATGCTGCAACACGTCACGATCGAGCCTCACTTCGTTTGGACCTTGGAAATCACCGAGGTGTCAGAAAGTAATGGGGGATTTCGTTGAGGCTCAAGCACCTGTGACAGCCCTGGCACTTCGGAGAGTCCGGCTTGACCTCTGGCAACCGTACGTTAAGACCCGAAGAACTCAGATGAGATGCCAGGACAATGCTCTGGGACTTATAGGGACGGTGCCCGGCAACCTCGGCAGACAATGCGCCGTTCGATCTCCGCCTGTCGTCGTGCACTCCGTGCAAATGGCTCAGGCTCATGCACTTGACTGATTAAGTGCAATTCGGGCCTTTCTGTTGCCACCGTTGTACAGGTCTTCTAAACTCACCTCAGAGCCGCGCCCAGCTAAGCTTCCAGCAGCTCCAGAGGTCCGCTGTCATCTAGAATGAAGCTTCCGCAAATCTGCTGCAGTTGCAACAGGGAAATAGGCATTCCTGCATCCTTTAACATGTTTACCTCTTTTGTTGAACAGCTGTTCCCAGTCTGTGGTATGGGATGTTCCAACCAGCCAGACCGGTGCCGCTGGCGGGAGGCTCGAGAGAAGAGCCTCGCAAACTGCACCAGACCCGCTGAGTGTAGGCGATCCGTCGCTACATCGGACCACATACCGAAGGTCTAGTGTGTTTCCCAGCCATATCACTTGCAAGGGCTTAGAGTCTGCTGCCCCGTGTTTGGCCATGTCACACGGTGTCACCATATGTGGGGGACAGGCTTCTTTGTACGGCTGTCGGCGTTGATGATGTGGCAGCGGCAGTAATGCAGTCGTGCAGAGGACGAGTACAAGCCATGGTGGTGGCCGCGAGTTTTGCTGTGGTTTCTGCTGCTATTACGAGTGACTTGCAAATTAATGCTGTTGCATGCAGCTAGCTTGTTCTCGTTCTGACGGCCATTATTGTTGCAGTGCTCTCCTTGCCGATGCCATGGTCGTGGATTTGATGATGTTGATACTCACAGTCTTGATATTGTCCTCTGCTGCTGTTGCTTTGCTGCTGATGCTGCGGTTGCTACGGTTGATGTTGATAATGCTGTCCCCTCCGCGACCTCATTGTTGGAGGTACTGCTGCTTTCGGCTGACTAGTTTGTACGGCGAGCGGACCTTGTCGCCCAAAGCACTCGTCATACATCGTGTCGCGATTCCTTCAAGCGCGCTGCTGGCCGCTCGGTTGTAGGCCACAGAAATCCACAGAATCAAGAACCCTCTTCGCCCATCACAGCCTTCTCCACAAAAGGCAAAAGCAGAAACGCCGTACTGGGGCAGGCTGTCAGCAGTGTGAGGCCGGTTACAGAGATCTGGGTCGCATCTTCTGTTTTCCAGGCACAGATTTTGCCATTCACATCGGCCCAGTGCAGGTCGGTCTAGTTATGGACGTGGAATCTGAGGTGTCCGCTGCCAGATTCGCTCTAGCATCGTCGCCTGCATGGTGTCCCATGACAGTCTCCAAAGCCATCCGTTGACATGGCAGGTGCCTTTCTCGATTTCGCCTTTTTCGGCCTTCTTGACCGCCTGGCATTCTGCTCAAGCCAAACATGAGAGCGGCGCAGCAGTTCAGCAGCCTCCATCCCGCCGGTGTCATAGAGGATCTTCTTGTCCGGATCGTTCAGGATCTAAGCCGGTGCCGCATGCAGCGTGCATCTCTGGCGTGGCCCAGTGCCCCATGTCTCGCCTCGTAGGCATCCCGAATCTCCCCGAACTTCCTCTCACAAAAAGTGCGGTCACATGCTTCGGTTTCGTTGTGATGCTCTGGTGGCCTTTTCGACTCCTCATCGGGATTCTTATCGGGATGGTACTTGATGGACAGCTTCCGGTACACCTGCCATTCCGTCGTGTTAAGGCTTAGTTGAACTTTGTAAAACACCTGGAAGACATCTCGTCATGACTCATCGCTTGGAAACTGGGCCGGCCTTTTTGATGTCTGCCTCGTCGGCATCTTCCTGAAAAACATGAACATAATGTGCTTTAAGCATGTCCGGTCTTGCACGGACTGCGGTGCAATTCAAGCTGCAAGTTCTTCAGGCACGTGCACCCCCGCTCCATACTGCACGACGGTGTTGTTGCTGCTTTCGGTTGCCAGCTTCGATGCGGGCACATGCCCAAGGCACGTGCCCCGAGACCGAGACGGGTCTGTTGGGCTCGGTATCGGCCATGGAGGTTGTCAGGTTTGAACAGCAAGGAAGGGGATGGAGGGGGTGCGATAGAATCGAGAGGACAGCTTGTTTGGCAGCGTGAAGGTTGGGAAAGAACTGGATTTCCTCCCGTGTTCGGAAGCACCCAAAGTACAGCCGCTTCGAAGAAGCACCCCTTCGATGGCCTGAAGGCCCAGGATCTCGTAGAGGTCCTGCGGTGTCGCTCTCGGATCGCTCGGACTCGGAACGTCACAGGCTGGGCCTTGTCTAGCTCAGCAGCTTCATGGTCGAAAACCTCAGAGATGCCGTGAATGGCATTCTCTCACGGTGATATAGGACCTAAAGCCAGGCAGCTCTTTGGAAAACTGCAGAGCACCTATCCCCATCGGAGGCGCGGCGCCCCCTGCCATGCTTAGACAGACAACGCAATTCTGCACTCATATCCACATCCTCCTGCCGTCTTGCCTCATCTGCATTCCTTGCATTTTCTGTTGATTCTGCTCGGTTGGCACCTCGCCGACCTCAGTCGCTCACGAGTAAATTTGAGATCGCAAGGCGTCTCCCCTTTGCTGAGCAGAGCATAACAGGCAGAACGCAAACTGAGGTTCTCTGCAATCTCCAATTCATGGAGCCCGGCTTGGCCCCAGAGCACAAAGATCTGAGGCCACGAGAGCACCCGAGCCCTCTTACTCCTTAACGCCCCTGCCTTGCCCTTGTTGGCAGACCATTTGCACTGACCGCGTTGGCAGTCATTGGTCGGAGCGTCGAAGGTGCCATCCTGACCACTGGGTCCCTCAATACTGTGTCGCGAACCGATTCGACTGCACGTGGCACATGCTCGGCACTCCTTCTGGAACTTGACATTCCTCCAGTTGTTCCAACTCCACTCGGTACCTTCACGAGAGCAGGAAAAACACACAACAAACAGTCGGCACGTCCTTCGCGCTTCGCGGGGTGAGCCCTGCCTTTCATCCAGGAGAACTTCTTCGAGATTTTGTCGGACCTGAGTTCCCAAAGTGACGTTCCCTTCCTGGTTTACGTCTCCTTCTCCTGAGACTTTGGCGTGCCCTTGGGCCATTTGATCGGCTTCTCTCGACGACCCCCTGCCCGCCCCCGCATCTGCAACGCTGATGTTGACCGTCAGCGCTGGCACTGACCAACAACAACCATGCCGGCTCTTTTGATGTTTCGCGGCACACCAAAGTCGGACGTGCTGACGAAAGCAAAGAACCCACACTGTCTGTTCAAATCCAACAGCCGCGTGAATTGTTGCTCGTGCACGGTGCAATATATTAGACCAGGTCTCGCCGCATGCAGTGCAAGGCATAGGCAGCTGCAAGATCCTGTGCCCGCGCAGTGCAGCAACACTCCAACTCCAATGCGAGAGCCAGGCTTTGCGGCTTTGCTGCATTCCGGAATGTCCTTGGCCGTCTTCTTGGTCTCTGCAGATGCCTGCAGCGACAGGAGGGAGCCTGGTTCAGGAGCTCTGGCTCCCTCTTGCCTCAGGAAAGGACGTTCCTTGCACCATGGCACGCCTTGGCTGAATGTTATAAGGAGCGATTCCACGCGTGGACGACTCGACTTAAGCTCGCTACACTCGAAACATGGGACGGTGGCTTGGACCCGTCTCCTGAGAAATCCGCTGTCGCTGCAGTCCGCGGCTGGGGCTTGGGACCAACCTGCCTCTTCCTTGAAGCTGAGGCTCAACTTGGACCTGATTAAGACAGTATAGTCGATACGTTGTACCATTTTTTGGAGCAAGCTGCCGCCAACACACCCTAAGGAAACCATAAAAGATAGAAATACCGCGGTGAGCTGAGAGGTGTCTAACCGAAAGGTTTCTGCGTCTGCCATAGCACTGCAGCTGCACTTAGCTCTGCAAGATTCTGCAAGTCAGGTGCGGTTGTGTGTGGACTGGACCAGAATGAAACGCGGCGAAGTGCATTAAGCCTCTCGGCAAAAACAGAAAAAACTGACGCCGTATGGACTCCGCAGGCGTTGGGCTTGTCAGTCAATCTCTGCCGGTCCGTAGTGAAAGTTTGGCTGGAGCGCCGTCACGCCGCTTACAGAGGCACCTAGCAGCGCCGTTTCCCGGTTGCGCGCGGTGTACTCTTGAACTCTTGCAGCTCCCAAAGGTGTCATGTCAGCGGCCAGTCGGCGCGGCCGGGGCCCGGAAGCAAAGTGCGGAATCGTTGCTCGGGGGTCTGATAATGGCGCTACGTGATCTCAGCAGACAGGCCTGGAGCAATAGTCCTGCAACTCCTGCCATGCCGGTGTAGGCGCAGGGCGGCGGGTAGCTAATTCAGCAACTTGAATCGAAGTCTTGAACAGTGGCTATGTGCGCGGGGCTGCGACAACCAAGCCGTCCTGCCGATCAACCCCCTTCTGCCGTGCAGCCGATGGCAGCGTGTCCAGGCGACTGACATCCTGGCAAACCACATGTGACAACGGAGTAGGGTTCTTAGTCGGGCAGTGGCTCTCTCCTTTGATGCTGGCTGCCAACAGTCGCACTAGTGCAAACCGGCGGAGGGCGAAGGTCAATGCCGGTGAGTGAAAATAAACCGCTTTAAAGATGCAATCAACCTGACCAACGCAACAGGGCTTGGTGCTGGCTCACTCAGACGTAAGGTCCTGGAGCACCGTCTCCACCGGCGCCTCTCGAGCTCGCCCTGCGACGGCAGTGCAGCCCTGCCCGGAGCTACGCCACTCAGCCGTCAGCTTTCGCCTTCGGAGCTCACCGCTTGTGCCGGCACTTCGGCGCCTCTTTGTTTTAAAGTGCTTCTGCTCTCTGCAGCCGCGTCTTGTGTCTGCGCATTGAAGTGACACAAGCATCTCTTAGCACCACACTTCGCAGCTCCAGCAGCGCAAGCTCGGCTGCCATGTCCTGTGTAGAAGTCTGCAAAGGGTTCTCGGCGCTCGAGATATCTCGAGACTGTTCATTCGTGGGCCGTCCTGAGCTGCATCTTTGGTCTTGGCGGTGGCCTGGCAGATGCCGCCGCGCGTTGCAAAGTGCCGTCGCATTCAATCAATGCGACTTACAAGCCAAGCGCACGCACGCACGCAGGCACGCACGTGCGCGCACACGCACACACACACACACACACACACACGCACGCACACAATCCTTACTCTGATTGCCTTGTTTCTAAACGACGCGCCTAGTTTCACAGGTGAAGACGGACGGCCACTAGGCAACACATTGGGGTTCCAAGCTTAGCCCCATGCCATAACAATGCAGAAAGCACTTGCAAACAACGCTTGTCGACTCACTCGCAGGTACAGGTTGATCAGACTCAATAGCAGCCGCGGCATAGCTCTCTTCGTTGGGCAACCAGTTATGCTCACGGGGTTGGAACTGCTGAAAGTTGCCAAGCAATCAAGATTTTTCAGTGCCCAAACTTTGGTAACAAGGTTGTAAACACACAACCAGCCATGAAGGCCTTTGTGTGATAACACTGCTGAACTTGATTAAAAACTGTTTGCTTGAAAAAACGCCAGAGAAGGTAATGCATTCAGATCATGTAATGTTTTGCATCCGGTGCAACTCTTACGAAGAAAACTGGCTCCAATGTTTTGGGGACAGTAATGGGCTCAGTACAAACAGCGTGACGGCCAGCTTGATGCAGTTGGAACGATGGAAGTTGCGGTCTGCGACCTGTGGCGCGTTTGACACGTTACTGCAGAATCTTCTTCACCTCGTCGATGGTGTACGCGGTGTGGAAGTTGAGACGAAAAATCATGGCCTGTCCTCTAGTGCAGCGGTCTGGTGGAACATGAAACTCCACACTCTGCAGGGAATCCCGCTTGCGCCGCTGTTTCATGGAAATATTGATTGAAAACAGCTCTTGATCCCATGACATGTGTGAGATACTGTCAAGACATGATGAACACTTGCCAAGTATTTTGCCAGCACACAGCTGGTGTGATAGGTGAAACCCTCATAGCTTTTCCAACTGTGCCTTTTGCGACGACGGTATTGGTTGTTTCAGGTGTCGATCTTGAAAAGGGTGCCGACTGTAAAAGGTTGGCTTCACAATTCGGACTTCATGCCCTCTGCGATGCAATTTGGGCAACTTTCCGTTGCACTTGACATATCGACGGGTATATTCGTGAGACGGCTTAGGTTGCGGTTGCACTTGCTGAATGAGGAAAACGGGATGATCGTATAAGCTTTGGCATGTGGATGGCCGGAGCAGCTCGCTTATTGCGGTACGCCTTGAGTAGGTCTTGCTTGCCAATGGCTGCAGAGGCAAAGTGATGCGAGCTGCAAAGTAAAACTGCGAACATGAACTACGCCAGTGCTAAAAACTGTACAGGATCGGCAGACAAGCTTGTTCTTCTTGTGAATCAGCATAACTTGCAGCGCTCATATTCAATAATACCCGCGAAATCAAGAGATCAGCTGGTGAAATGCTGACAAACAGGATGTGCACGAATTAAAGCCCTGCTCATGCACGGCGAGACTGATCGATTTCGCTGTTTTGGCGACTCAGATGTGGAGGCTGCCGTGTTCTGATGGTCTTCCGTAGAACTTTGGTCGCGATCTTTGCGAAGTCTCCGAACAGGCCATTGTCTAGTGGCTGGAAACCAGACTTGACTGGAAACTGGACAGGAGATGAACAATACGGCTGACATGGCAATATATTGCCATCATCAGCTAAACATTTGACATGTACTGCACCGGGATCGTGCGCTCAAGTGCTGAAGAGATTTTGCTATATGGTCTCGTTAGAGCTTTGCTGGGTGTCTTAAACTTACCGAACAGTGAGAAGATTCGGTCTACGTGCGTGAAATGCTGTCACACATATGGAGATTCGAAAAACTGTCGAGTCCTTGTCGAAGACGAACGGATAGCGGGGGAATGACCACACCCACACGATACAGTATGTGTTCAGCAGTCAGCTGTATCAATTGTTGAACAGTGCCAGCGCTCCACAGGACGAGATCCAAGCCAAGGTGGCGCTCGTAAGGTATACCAGCATCATCCGCAGTTCGTCTCATGGCTGCGATTTCGCTGGGATAATGGATCTTGAGCATCATGCCATTATGTACACAAGAGAAACTTCGTTTCAGGACTGCGGCAAGACTCGATCAACACTCTGATCGAACTTCTTCTTGTTGCTTCTACCCGATAAGGGCAGAGCTCTGACGAAACTGAGCATCAGCTTGGCTTTGCTAGTTCGTTCGACATCCAAGCAGATGGGGCACTTAGTTTCCGGCAACAATAACGCTGCACTTTGGACCAATTGGAAACTATGCTTGTTTCATCTGATTGGCGTGATGAAAGGCTTTGTCCTGAGCGCTGTACAAAATGGACCCATCCCTGGGTCAAGTTGTGGTCCTCCGATAACTACCGGGACTCGGGTTTTATCCCCGAAAAGAACCTTGGCAGACACTGGCAACGGAGTAGTTCGAATCGTCTTGGCGGACTTGCTGTTGAAGTCTGGACGACGAGAAGAGTTGGACCCAAAAGAAGAACTTGACAATGAACTGGAAGACGAAGATGCCGAGACATCTGCGATTGATGTACTTGTTACACGTTGGTACAGACGTAATGGATTTGCTCTTGCGCCGGACTTTTCGTCGGCGTCTGGCCATGGCATCCACCGCCAGTCTTGCAACAATCGCCATGCTTGAAAGCATTCGGAAAACCGTGAGCAGAATTGAATATGTTGAATATGTTGACCACTGGACGGACGTATCCGTTTGGTCAGTGACTTTGCATCTTTTCTGCTGTCGAGACAAAGCTTACCGATGAATCACTCACTTGAATTTAGACAAAGCTGATGCTGCTGCCGTATAAGATCCTCCACGCAGTCATCTGTTTCGTCGGAGTGATGAGAGGCTTGTGGAGCTGGCAGTTCAACTTCTGACGCCGGTACACCTTCAGGCACAGGAAAGGCTGCTACCGAAGCTACCAAAGCGGGGCCGGCCCACGGAACATCTGGAGCAATTAAAAGAACTGCTTGTTCTGTTCGGCCTGGGCCTCTTGCAAGAATCGAGCGATCAGCTTCATCACGATGGTGATGGCTGTTGTGTTCGGAGGCTGGCTGTTGCTCCTGGTCGTTCGCTTCTCGAGCTTGCCATCGGTGCTCTGATTCTG